TGTCAATTGAATTCTACTGGATATATAAATTTAATGCAAGTTCTTTTTCCTCTTGTTGCCTGGCGTGGGATCCTTTTTTTTCTATCCAGATTTTCCTCCCGGAGAAGAAGCCTGTGAAGTCGAACAATGTATTGGGAATTTTTTTTCCCTTGGATAGTACTTTAATTAAATTAATTATCATTATTTGTTAAGAGTTGATCTGATTTGGGACGAGATAAGAAATGTGTTGTCCTGTACTGTTGTATTAAGGATTTTGATAGAGTTATGGCCAACTTTTGAGAGCGAGGAAAAATGGAATCACAACTCAAATCCATGTATATATTAAAGAAAGTGATTTGTATTTTGGTCAGAAGTTTATGCTACTAGTTTTTTTTGTATTTTCAGTTGACAAATCCGATAAGAATATAATTTTAAACAAATATTATGAAAAGCTGATGCAACATGTTAATTTTTTAAAAACAATTATGTGCTTTATAATATTAGTGCGTTCATCATGAACATTTGTATTAATTACGCACATGAACGAATTTTTTTAATTATATTCATAATACACAGTTATTTCAAAGGTTAAGTACAATATGATTTATGGTACATGATGGTTCAAATATGGGTTTTTCTTATTATTTTCTCATCCAATCATCTTTCAACAAAAGTTAAGAAAAAGAAAAAGTATATATAATAATTTAGTTAGTTTTGATGTTTTAAAAGTTAGTATTTTGAAGCAAAAACATATAATGAAATTTGAAATAGGAGGGAGGTGTATTTTTTCCGGCCATGTAAAATTAGAATTTTTCTTGTGTTTGTTAATTTTTGTCGTGCTTAGTTTGGTTGGACGAAGGAATTGAGATTTAAAGATGTGGTCAACTTTTTCACCTATTACAGTAGATAATATGATTTTGGGTTGATTAATTTGTGATGACTGAAGAGCTGTAATTGTGCTATAACATAATGGGTAAAGATACGGTGAAAGCTTCCTGGGATGTAAGAACCACAAAAGTGTTTATTGACCTGTGCATTGAACTTGTGCAACAAGGAGAAAGAAGAGGTACAAGCTTAACAAAGAAAGCTTGGGATATTCTTGGTGATAAGTTTACTGCCAAAACTAGGAGAGTGTACGCAAAACAGCAATTTAAGAACAAATATGATTCCCTGCGAAAAGAGTGGCAGACATGGGATAGGCTGCTTCGCGAGACAGGATTGGGATGGGATACTGAAAGGAATACTGTTAGTGCAACTGATGATTGGTGGGAGAGGAAAATAAGGGTAATTATTGAACCTTTTGATCTTACATTTTCTCTGCCTGTTAATGTTTTGTGCATATTTATTGTTTTTTGAATATTTTATGATATTATTGGTGTCTAATGTGCAAGAAGTTCCAAACTATGAAAAATTTAGAGAAAGAGGACTTCAATTTAGGGATCAATTAACTCAATTGTTCGGGAGTGTGGCTGCAGTTGGACCACAAGCATGGGCACCTTCTTCCATGACACTTCCAAGTGAAGGAACACCGAATGAAGATTTGGAAGAAGGGTCCAGAGATAGTGATGAAATTTTAGGCGCACCAACTGGTGTAAGTAGGGAATTTAACACAGTGAACTTCAATGTTAATAGTGGAGGTAGTGGAGGCAACACTGAATTGAGGCAGGATAACAATGGTGGGGGTACAAGCAGAGGTAGGAGTCGACCTAGTAGCTCACTGGGGGTCAGAAGGAAGAGTGAAGTCAAGAAGAAACGCACATCTCCCTCTATGAAAATAGCGGATGCACTTAGCAAGATTGCTGAAACAAATATTTCTGAGGCCGAGCGTGGAAATGAGGTCATGTCACGAGTAGAAGCTAGAAGGTTGGAAGAAGAAGATAGAAGGTTGGAAGAAGAAGCACGTGCTTATGAGATTTCAATTAGGGGAGTCTTGTTTCACTTGAAAACAGTTCCTGAAGTTGTCAGTGATCCTGATTTCTTTAGACGCTGCACACAACTCCTTATGGAACGGCCGGAGGCACGGGAAATGTATGCAGCTCTGAAGGATCAGAAGGAACAACTTCTACCTATTTTGGAGTTTTACACTAGGGATTTATGACTTGTTTATTATATTAGACAGTTCCATATGTGTATCATTTTATGTGACTAGTGGGTTGTTATATGAATCAAACAACTCTGTAACTTTTATAAATGTTTCGTAATTTCTACGTAAGAATTCTAAACTTTATGTGTATGTGCACAGGATAAAACGAATATGGATGCTGAAATTAAATGTGTGGAAGAGCATGCTAAGGGACGAAAAAAAAAGGGTTAACAAAGTTGCAGCATTGGTCGGTGCATACGCTACTTTGAACTTGTGTAAAGAGTCTCGGCATACAAGTGCTTATACAGGCTGCTTATGGGTAAGGGATGTTTTAGATGGCAACTCCAGTCGTTGTTATAACATGTTTAGGATGGAACGGGGTGTGTTCTTAAGTCTGGTGGAACAATTGCAACAACATGGTCTAAAAGAGACTAAAAATATAGGGATACATGAATCAGTTGCAATGTTTTTACATACCGTTGGCCATGCACTTAGTAGCAGAATGCAACAAGAAAGATTTCAACATTCAGGGGAGACAATTAGCAGACATTTTCATAATGTCCTAATGGCATGCTGTAGACTTGCCATGTCTAATATCAAACCAAAAGATCCAACATTCCGGCATGTTCATACAAAAATTCGGTTTGGTAAATACTAGCCTTTTTTTAAACATGTTATTGGAGCAATTGATGGCACGCACGTTTCCTACGTTGTCACTGCAACAGATCAAACTAAATTTATCTCTAGAAAAGGAACAGTGTCACAAAATGTCATGGCGGTTTGTGATTGGGACATGTGTTTTACTTTTGTCTTGGCTGGATGGGAAGGTAGCGCACATGATGCTCGGATATTTGATCATGCCCTCACAACTCCTTCAATGAACTTTCCCCACCCACCTGAAGGTTTTTTATTTCCTACATTTTATTTATATTTAGCTTAACAATAGAAAAATAATTTACAATAATTTCATTTTTTATATAGGAAAATATTATTTGGTGGATGCTGGATGCCCAACACCAAATGGATATCTCGGCCCATACAGACGGGAGCGTTATCATCTGCCTGATTTTCGAAGGACATCTGGGTTTGAAAATGACAATGAAGTCTTTAATTATTTCCATTCAAGTTTAAGGAGTACAATTGAAAGAACTTTCGGAGTTTGGAAAAAAAAGTTCACAATCTTACGAAACATGCCATCCTATGATTATGAAACACAAGTTAAAATTGTTTGTGCAACGATGGCTATATATAATTTTATTAGAACGACATCTATTACTGATCCTGGATTCGTTCAGTTAGAAGAAGAAGGTACTTATGCAGAAGAACATGATGATGGGGTTAGATTTTCACGTATACATTCATCAATTCAATCTTCATCTTATATGGCTCAGGTTCGTGACAGCATAAGAGACGAACTTGTTAATTCAGTTCGTGACAGCATAAGAGACGAACTTGTTAATTCAATACAAGGATAGTAGTCATGTCTTATTTCTTTCCTTTTATCATAGATTGTAATATGTAGTTAAAAACAAAACATATCACAAATGCTTTGTATCGATGCATCATCTTAATGATTATGACACTTCTTTATTTATATTTCTTTTATTAATAATAGACCTTATATTCTCAAGCTAATTATTACTTACTTTAATAATTAATAAATTGTTTGAAGACGTGTTTATTCTATTTTGTCAAACAATATCATCCCATTTTATGTTTATAATCTTCATGAAAATACATGATTTTTTGTTTGCAACAAAATAATTCATCTTCTCTAAAAATATTTTCACTCTTATATTTTATTAATATATATGTGTGGTGACAATTAATTAATTAATTGTATTAAACATCAGAGGTTATTATACATGTAGTATGTTATTACAAAAAGTAGTTGTGAAAAAATGTTATGGGATTTCACGTTTAAAATCTTTAAAGAAAATTAATATTTTTCTGTTAGTAAAAAAAAAAATCACTTTTCTATAAACATATTTATTATTATGTTTTATAAATATATATACACATATTAATTATGTATTAATTATATTATCTTATATATTATTAATTATGTTAGTAAAAAATTTTTCATTCACAATTTTATTTCTTCAAATTAAAATATATCATAAAATCTATCTCTTATATAATTATCATATTAACTTATACCCTTTTTGGTAATTTTCACATGTAAAAAGTGCTTCTGGTAATAACTATTCAAACACTCTCACTTCTCAGAATCACTTTTTCTCAGAATCTATTCTCCACAGAATTTATTCTCCAGAATCACTTTTCCAAACCACGGTTTGGTTTCATCCAAACACACCCTAAGTTGCAGTGGTTCAAAGGAGAACAATTGGAGGTTAGAAAAGTAATATTATTTCTCCTCAAATAGATATTACTTTCAATGGTTCAAACTTTTTGGGTCCTAGGTATTATGTTGTCTTCTTACTTGTTTTAATTATTAATTATTAATATGGATGATGATTGTATTTATTAATTATTAATATGAATGATGATTGTATTTCTCATTGGATTTACTTTTGAGCAATGGACAGGGGAAAGATTCAACCTAAGTATATCTGAAGTGTATATTTTTAAGACCAAAATATTTTGAGATCAGCTGTGTAATTTATATGAGATGTTTAAGCTCATGTCTTACTGTACGTAGTTCGATTCAGTTTACCAAATGGAAGATATCCAACAATTAGAACAAAGAGTTTGGAGATGACATCATTTTGCACTTTTATTATAAAATGTTAAAGAAATTTTAAAAGTAAATGATAAAATCAGTAAATCAGTGAAATCTACAATATCACAAGTTTAAATCAGTGGAAGAAAACTCAAATGCTTTTTCGCTGTCAAAGACGAGGTGGAACTAATAAACCACATGGTTTTAAAAATAGTCGACCATACATTCTAATGCTCTGCCAAATGAGGCAGATGCAGGTGACTGCTTTTGCTTGGATAATCTGAATTATACAGCAAATTCCTTTTAAGTCTTATGTATTGAATACTTGTCCTGTGTTTGCTAAGGTCAAACAAATCTAAATCAAGAGTGTAATGAGAGGTTTTGGCAGTCTGGTGTAACTGCTTGGAGAATCACTTTTCAGTGAAGTCAGAGATTTTGGGATGATTTTTTAGAAGGTATTGTACTATTGTCCCTTTCCATTGTTAAACAGATTTTTTTTCATTTTTCTCTTGCTTCTTTTCTGTTACACGGTTTTGGTATCACATCATCTTATTTTTATTTCAATAGGCGTGCATCAGGACAACAAATAGGGAAATGCTTTCCACCAATGTCCTTTCCATGGCAAAGCTTGTGGTAATCAGCCTTGTAATCTCCTCCTAGAAAGCTTAGGTACTGACGTAAAGAATATCATAATGCTCTGAATTTGATATGTTGATGTATATGTTCTGAGGAGTTTTATTAGTAAAATTTTTCTTTAATTTATGGGTAGAAGAAAATTTATTTTTCATTTAACGTTAGATGTATTTAATTTTTTTAGTATCATCATGGTTTTTCAAATTAATTTTATATGATGAGGAAAACTCAACGCTAATGAATTTTCTTACCAGTTCATGATTTTTTTAAAAACAGAAATTGTTAAAAAAAAAATTGAAATCATATACCTAATATATTGGTTTTCAATGAAACTTACAAAATTATATGCCTGTTTGGAGGATAGCCAAGTTTATAATATGGTGAAAGTGTGGGCCTTGGAATAGTTTCAGTTGAGAACAAAATGATGTCACCTTGTGTATTTAGTGTTATCTGCAAGGTTCAACTGACGTGCGATATAACTAATATAGTGATTTTATGGGAAACTTAAAAAAAGTGTCCGCATGTTGAAAAAGGAGATGCTGCTGAAAGAAGAGATGTGACAGCTTGGAGAGATATGGCTTATCATACGTTTATATTCAAGTGTGTATCTGTAATGCATCCAAATGTGGCAAGTGATAAAGCAAAATAGGAGTTGTATATATATTTTGCTATTACATGTGAATTTTAAATCCCTCCTAACATTTTCTGTTCTATTATTTTGATGCTGGATATGTTAAGAGATATGTCTTTTGGGATTCATGGCTGCAATATATTGCTTACTGTTATACCTTCATCCTTGCTCTTTAATTTGGCATTTGTAATAGCCAGGCTTTGACTCGTGAATGTGGAGGCAGCAGTTGCTAGACCATTTCCAGCACAGTCAAATGGAAGTGGCAAAGGTTTGTGTCATGTTGGGTAATTTTGGAGCCTTTATGAATCAGTGTTGTATCTTGGCCTCACTCAGCAGGTTCATAGAAGATTATACCTGTCTTGAAAATTTCCCATTTAGATTCTACCTTTTCTATGCTCTAAATGCTCAGTATTTAATCCATGATTATGCATTAAAAAGATATATTGATGTAAAGTTTACTAACTATTATATCAGATTAGTTTATTATATTGAACATAGATGGAATTTCTTTATGACAATGATATATTAATGGGATATGTCACATCTGTGAAGTTGAACAAATGACAGTTGGCAAGAGTCAAACATTTTTTATAATTTGGAGATTGGAAATGGATGTTAATTTGGTCAAAATATCCTTGAGAACTTTTAATCAAAATTATGATATAAGCTTAGTGTCAGTACTTTGTACATCCTATTAAATTCCAATATGCATCCACTCATGAACATGATATGCTTAATGTATTATAGACTTGTACAAAATAGTTAAGATGAACACATTTCTAATTACAGCAAAAGGTTAGCATTCTGTTCTAATTCTCATATCTATTTTGATGTTAACACAATACGATATAATGCTAATATGTCAAGTTATGGATACAACTCTTTGCTTCTGAATAAACTCGTGTGCTATGATGTTGCCTGTCATGTAGTTGGATGAGCAACCTTTGTAGGATGTATTGCTCTTGGAAGTGCACGCTATAATCTTTTATAGACCAATGTCAAAATTGTTCTTCTAGAAATATCTCAATTTGATTATCACACGCTGGCTTTGAAAAAATAAAATAAAATGAATTGGTACTTGATCAGTGCAAAAATGCGTGAGGAAATGAAAGAAATAAAGAAGAGGTTTGATCATTATACTTGATGCATATAGGAAATTAAAGAAAAAGAATAAAACAAGCTTTGAGAATTATGAATTAGAAGGTACGTAAGTCCCCGTGAGTTGTTATAATCTCTTTGGGATGCCAACTTTTTTAAAGGTCTCTTCAAAATGTATTTTATAAAATCAAATCAACTCAATTTGTCTAGTAAGTTTCTCTGGTCCAAAAAAGATCATAATAAAAAATATAATGATTTACTCATCCAGTCCTATTTATAGAATAGAGAAATAAGGTTTTTTTTTGTTCTTATTTATAAGTCATTTCATCAAATTTTTAACGTGAATATACTATTTTATTCTTTATTTATTATAGTGTAGGTAATTATCTCTTTTGAAAAGTGTATATATTAAATATGGGTAAAGTTAAAAAATTATCATATTTTAATAGAGAGTTAATGGATTTTAAGATTTTTCTTGGTCTGTATAAAATATACTAAAAGTATCTTATAAATAGGACAAGAGGAGTAAGATTTATAAGCTCTCCGTGCAGCCCACGGAAAGGACGTACTAGTTCTTTACAATGTGAAGGACTTAAAATCCCCCCATCTATAATTTCTTTTTTAATTTTATACCATTAAACACAAGTATATATACAAACCTGTAAATGTCAAACTCAAGTTTTAGACATCATCTAAGACGGCTGACTCTGTTACTGTGGCACTGGTGACACTGTTACAGTGGCAATCTGCTGTTAACACCTCATCTATGAGTGATATGCTTGCATTTGGAAGGACTACTTAGAAATCCCTCAACTATAATTTATGTATGCTTTGTAAGCATCTAAAAACAATAAAAAGTCCCATTTTTTTTGTACACTATGGTCGTAAAGTTGGAATGGTACATTTGAAAAGAGATATGGGAAAAAGTGCCATTCAAATTAGTACAAGCAATAATGAAGGGAGCTGGCCCACACCAACAGGAATGAATAGCCGTGAATGTTGTGTTGTCGGTGAGGTGTGTTACAGTGTGTACGTAAAAACCAATCAAATTATACCAGGGGGGAAATGACACTTTCGGACAAAAGATAAATTTAAAGGAAAATTTCATTTAAAGACCATTATAGCCAATTAATGTACTCCTAAAGCATTTGAAAATTTCAGTCAACTTTTTTGGATCAAAATAAAATTAAAATTTAAAGGTAAAATTATAATACTACCCCCTTTTTTAAAAAAAAAAAATTTGATGGTTGCTAGAGCTCCAGTTACTGGAGGTCAGAGGTCCGGCAGCTAGCGCTCAAGTGACCGACATCAAAGATCGAAGTTTCGATGGCCACTGAAACTCCGATGACTGAAGGATTTTTTTCCCCCCCAAAATAAGGTGGCCCGGGAGATTTGAACCCATGATCTTTTGGCATACCAAAAATAATATGACCACTAAACCAACCAAGCCATTTAATCTATTGATGCAAAGAAATATATATTTATATATATAACAAAACAAATGTAAGTGTTTAAATATAAATGAACAAGTTAAATTCAACAATTTGCAAGTGAAACTTAACAATTCACAACAAAAATTTGACAATTTCCAAGTAATGTAATGGAATTCACAACTCCAAATACAAATGTTTGTGTGTGAATGAGCAAGTGAAATTCGAAGATTTATAACAAAAATTTATGGATTTATAACACAAATTTGATGATTTACAAGAAACATAAGAGAATTTGTAACCCAAAATGTAAGTGTTTGAATGTGAATGAACAAGTGAAATTCATCAATTTGCAACAAAAGTTCAATGATTTACAACTTATATTCAGATATTCACAAGAAACGTAAATATTATAAAACTTATAAGAGAATTCACAACCTTAAAAGTTTTTCTAATTAAGGCACAAGAACTTATATTCAAGGAGGTTTCATTTGGGTTGTAAATTCCATTATGCTTCTTAGACACACTGTGCATTAATTTAAGTTGTGCTTCAAATATCTAGATTTTTTTTAACTTGTGAATTTATTCATTATGATCTATTAAATATATATAATAAGAGGATCTAACTATTTCTTCTGACTCTTTTTCAAATTTGATAAATGTTAGTTGATCGTATATTTCATTATAGTTCTATGATTCAGAGTATCATTTCCTATTTGATACCTTATTCCATATTCGAAGTTACGATCGGATCGATTCTTTTTTAAATATACATATAAGTTATGAGTTAATTATCAAAGGCTTCGATATGTGTGTGGAGCCGGAAGAAATGAAAACTATACATGGAGAATTGTATTATTGACAATATGTCGTCCACGTAACATTTATTTATATTGCAAACCATATTTTAATATCTTATTCGTTGTGAAAAATTATAATATACTCCTCCGGTCCTTAATATAGGACCCAATTCTTGAGTTAGTTTTGGTCCTAAATATAAGAGCCATTTCTCATATTTATCAATTTTCTCTAAATTACCCCTATGGATACTCCCTCAACCATAATCAAGTAAAAGAGGGAGATGGGGTATTAAGAAAGATGATTATGGTGTTTTAGGAAAAATGTGTCACTTTTCTTATAATTAACTAACTTACCTAACTTCCTTAATCTAATCAAATTAGTTAAATAGGTCTTATATTAAGGACCAGAGGAGTAACTACATTACAATGTATCTGATGAATACAAAATGAGTAAAAGAGCTAACTTGAGATTATTAGCATTATGAAGAAACAGAAATTAAATACAGGCAATATGTAATTAATTCTAATACGACATTACATATTCCTTTTTATCTGACTCAGCCTTAATTAGCAAAACTAAGAAGACACCGGTCTTCACTTAATGTCGCCGAAAGCAATGAAGCGTCCCAAAATAGAAGCTCCGGTGCCTTAATTAGCAAAACTTTTGAGGTTGTGAATTCTCTTCTAAGTTTTATAATATTTATGTTTCCTGTAAATCTCTAAATTTGAGTTGTGAATCGCTGAATTTTTGTTGTAAATTACTGAATTTTACTTGTTCCTTCACACTTAAACACTTATATTTAGGGTTACAAATTCCCTTATGTTTCTTGTGAATCACCAAATTTGGATTATAAATTCTTGAATTTTTATTGTAAATATTTGAATTTCACTTGCTCATTCACATATAAATACTTGCATTTGGAGTTGTGAATTTCATTATATTACTTGTAAATCACCAAATTTTTGTTATGAATTGCTGAATTTCACTTGGACATTTGCATTTGTTTTGTTTTATAAATATATATATATATTTCTTTGCATGATATGATTAAATGGCTTGGTTGGCTTGGGGATCACATTACTTTTGGTATGCTAAGGGGTCTGGGGTCATAGGTTCAAATCTCCTTTAGTCACTTTATTTTAAAAAGAAAAATCTTTTAACCACTGAAGTCTAGTGGTTAGCCACCAAAGCTCCGACTTCTGGTGTCAGCTATTAAGCTCTGGCAACCATTAATATTTATTTTTTAAAAAAATAAAAAGAAGGGGTAGTATTATAATTTTATCTTTAAATTTTAATTTCATTTTGGTTCAAGGGGGTTGACTAAAGTTTTCAAATATTTTGGCGGTTGACTGACATTAATAGGCTACAATGGTTCTTAAATGAAATTTTTCCTAAATTTAATTACAATTTGGATTCAAAAAACAATTTAAAATGATAATAAAAAAATCTACGTCCTTAATGATTTAATGCCTAAAAAAAATTAATTACCTAATGATATCTTTACCTAACTTGTTTCATTTTAAAAGTTGAAATAATGAAATATGAT